CGCTCCTGCCCTACTCCTGTCACTCCTGCCTTGCTCCTGTCGCTCCTGTCGCTTAGCCCCTGCTCCTGTCACTCCTGCCCTGCTCCTGTCGCTCCTGCCGCTCCTGCTCTGCTCCTGTCACTCCTGTCGCTCCTGCTCTACTGTGCTCCTGCCCTGCTCCTGCGCTCCTGCTCTCTCCTGCCCTGCTCCTGCGCTCCTGCTCTACTGTGCTCCTGCCCTGCTCCTGTCGCTCCTGCTCCTGCTCTACTGTGCTCCTGCCCTGCTCCTGTTGCTCCTGCCTCTGCTCCTGTCGCTCCTGCTCTGCTCCTGTCGCTCCTGTCGCTCCTGCCGCTCCTGCTCTGCTCCTGTCACTCCTGCCGCTCCTGCTCTGCTCCTGTCGCTCCTGCCCTGCTCCTGTTGCTCCTGCTCTGCTCCTGTCGCTCCTGTCGCTCCTGCCCTGCTCCTGCGGCTCTGATCGACACTGACAGACCCACGGCTCTAATGTGGATAATGGTTTCAGTGGAATACAAGCTCTAACCTGGGGATGTACAAAATATGTTTACTATTTGTCCACTTAGAATTAGCCTTAAGCCTCCGCCACAGATCCATATTTAGTTTGGCCCAACCACCTGCCGAAATATGTAAAGAATAAAAGCCTTAAGCACCTTGAAAAGAGAGCTGGTAGTATCTTCTCTGGACTAGTTTGTGGTAAATCAAGGTCTCTGGTTCAAGGTTTGTGGGTGATTCTATAATGAGAGGCACATTTCGCTTCAGGAAAATTATTTGGTTATGTTATGAGGTTCTTTTTTTAGACCGAGAGTTTGTTTTCATACCCGACAGCTTCGACTGCTCACTAGTGGTCACGTGATGTTGCTGTGACGTGTCCGGTCAGCTGATGTAAACAGGTTTTCAGCTGAACGGACACGTCACAGCAGTAGTTTTATTTAAAGAAAAGTAACTAACAATATATCAGTATCAAAATATTATTCAAGCAGGAGTAACTTTTTCACTGACACAATTTCAAAACTTTTCTATGACTTTTTCATGACATAAAGTGAATTTTCCATGACTTTACAGCACCTAAATGTGTAGAATTGATCAGACTTATGAAATGTTAACTCATTCCGCTCACCTTATGGTTTGGGATTATAGTTTTTTAACATTCAAAATCTAAAAATTTACTGTCGTCTCTATGAAACAAAAGGTGCAGACGTTCGGAAATAATCATACACAGTCAACAGAACGCTATAGCTGCGCGAAAGAGATACTAAAATCCCATGACTTTTCCAAATCTTTCATTGAATTTACAAATTTCCATGACTTCCTTGATTTCCATGACCCTGGAGTGAAAAACCCTGAGCAGGACATTTCTTTAAAACCTACTCAAGCAATCTATCCATCTGTGTGTACTGTGAAGGTGTGTGTAATACCTTAGAGCCTGTTTACACGAGAACGCTTGCGGACAAAAACTACAAAATATTTTATTGAATGTGCTTTTCGTTTAGACGGTGATGGCGTTTTGAGGCTTAAAAATGCAAAAATCTAAAATCTGAAAGTTGAATTAGGGCTGTCGCGATAACTGCAAAAATGAATCACAGAGGTACTATGGTGCACCTGACCAACGTGACCTGACCCAGAGTCCTGCACAGGTCCATTTTTGGAGACCCACACCCGCCTGGACCAGGACTTCTAGGAGGAACTAGGACTAAAACAGGACTGAACCAGGACTGAACCAGGACTCACTGTTGGGACTGACCCGGAGGTGCACCCGTGTGGACCGTCAGGTGATCACAAAAGACCGGCATACAGCTCCGCGCCCCACGAAGGTAAGCGCAGCCGTTGCCCGATCGCTCTTTGTGGACACCCTGCTCCGCGTGCTCGGGGTTCTCTCTCTTAAGTCCGCAGGTACCTGACCCGGTGCAGGATTCTGACCCGACCTCCTGCCACAGTGAGAGCTGGAAAGATGCAGCGGCACTTGTTCCAAAGCCAAATGTTACTTCTCCCACGCTACACACGCTATATTAGCACGACAACCAAGGTAGCGTCGCCATAGCTTTTCCGTCTACACTGCCCAAGACGCAAAACACTGGTCAGATTTGCTCAGGTCGCATACACGTTTACATCACATACATACAGTACACACAAACCTGACATGCATACCCAATCAAATTCCACACACTTTTGCGTCATCGTATGCATGCACATTTCCTCCTGACGCAACTCCACTTTTGCGTTTTCTGTTCAGACTACGGATGGGCATTCGATGAAATTTTATTAATCGATCGTCAGTAGAATTAATGATTGTTTTTCGATTAATCATTAATGTTTTTATATAATAAGTATCATCTATTTTATGTAAAAATTATCATCTTTTATTATTACTATTACTAATCTGCATAAATAAACTCAGCTTTACAACATATAAACCATAAACACTCTAGAGCCACATCAGCCCGTTTGACATTATAATGTGTTTAATGCAGTTTTGCACAAGTTTTACAGAAACAAAACTTAAAACCGCATCGCTAATTTGCATAAACTAAGTGAAGGAAAAAAAACAAACGCTGTTGTGCTGTGATGCGGTTCAGATTCTGTTGGACTAAACGACACGACTCAGTGGATATAGATGTTCTTTCTGTGACAGAGGGATGTTGATGCTGAAGGTGAGTCTGTTCTGTGTGTCGCGATGTTTTCAAAGATCGTACGTGTGCAGGTTTAGCGCAGTTCTTTATGTTGCAGTAACCGGGATACAGCTTTTACATGCACCATGACGAAACCGGGACATTGATGTGCTGTAAACACACTCACTGAGTCGTACAGTGTCTCCAAGGAAGTGCCAGAGCCCAAACGTGGGACTGAGGCCGCAACTCCAGAGTTTGCGCTGTCAGACGCAGCTTCATATCTACGCACAGAAACCTACATTCAGTTTGTCGATTAAAAATTAACGTAATCGACGAACTTCTTAATGATCAATTATCGATTAGTCAACTAATCCTGCCCATCCTTAGTTCAGACCGTCATTACATAAACGTAACCTTACTTTCCTGCTACCAAGCCAAACACGCTCTTAACTGTGCCCTTCATCACGTCCTCATCGTCTTCACATCACATCACAGTAACTCAGGACAAAAAAGTCAGCAAGTTTGAACAAAATGTGACGCTGTGGGCTGGATAAGCGATGCACAAATGTTTAGGGCGTCCCAAGAATGGATCACACCTGCCAATCACCAAAATACAGAAGCTTTTACAACCGTGGGCCCTGCGTCCTGCCCCTGCCCCGCACCCCGCTGGACCCGGGACCCTGGCCTGTCCTCCTGAAGAGCTCCTGAGCGTGTGCCGTGTGCTCACTAAATATAGTCTTAAACTGAATTCCAACATAAATGTATCTTTAAACGTCCTGTTCTTGTATATTTTTTCTCCGTGTAATTGAGCAAAATGTGTCTTTCCCCAGTGAAAATATATTCTAAGCAGCTCTTGGCATCAAAATATCAAAATAAGTTCCACATCCAATTAGAAATGTCACTCTTTCTTAATCAGGAAGTGCTTTTAGCTTTACTATCACACCAAAACTCTGCACTGGTCTCTGAAAATTGTCCAAAGCGCCTGTCATGATGAATAATTAGGATGTTCAGAATTAGTTACGTCAATGAGGAATATCTTTAGATCACTGTAAGCTAAAACTAAATAAACCATCAATACCTGGAATTTGATGAATGGATGTTATTAGAAGCAGAGATGCCAAAATGTACTGCTCAAAAAATGTAAGGAATACTCTGAAAACACATCAGATCTCGATGTAAAAAAGAAAAAAAGTTGGATATCTATACAAATATGGGCAGAGCAATGTCTTAGGAACAAAAGGATGTCATTTCTTTTAATGGAACAACAGGTGCAACAATGAGACGGTCCCTAAAACAGAACTGGTTTTGCATGTGGAGGTCATTTCAAGTTGATTATTTTAAGGTCATTCCTTCAGAAGTTACACACATTGTCCAACATTAATGTGTCTCTCAGCACAATCTCTGGAACATGGAGGAGATTTCAAGAGACATTTCCTCTTGGAGAGCTGGACAGGGCCGTAGAAGCTCCAGACGACCACCGGTGTGAATGTCTCTGTCCATGAGGGCAGGTTGAGGGTGCCATGTCTTGTAGTGGGTCCTGTGATCACTCCCCAGCACCATGGAGCTCCACTGGCGTTTGCTAGACCACACCAGAGCAGCTTCACCCTGAGCACCTGTGATAGATGTGGAAGAGTCTGGAGAACATGAGAAGAACACTCTGCTGCCTGCAAAATCGTTCAGCATGAGTGGTTTGGTGGTGGGTCAGTGATGTTCTGGGGAGGCAGATCCATGGAGGAACTCACAGACCTGTACCAGCTAGAAAACGCCCGTCTGACGCCATTTGGTATCGGGATGAAATCCTCAAACTCATTGTCAGACCCTTCACTGGTGCAGCAGGTCCTGGTTTCCTCATGATGAACAACGATGCTCGGCCTCATGTGGCAAGAGAACCTGGAGGATGAAGGGACCAAGAGAACCTGGAGGATGAAGGGACCAAGAGAACCTGGAGGATGAAGGGACCAAGAGAACCTGGAGGATGAAGGGACCTTTTGTTCCTAAGGCATTGCTCTGTCCATATTTATATAGATATCCAGCATTTTTCAAATTGAGATCTGATGTGTTTTCAAAGTGTTCCTTGGTTTACAGTCAGAATGTTGCAGGTTTGTCACCGGGTCTTTTTGTGCAGAGTTTGCATGTTCTCCCTGTGCCTAGGTGGGTTTTCCTCTGGGCACTCCAGTTTCCCCCATCGACCCAAAACATGCACACGAGGTCAAATTCTTCAGCTAAAGTAATCCTGACCGAGAGCGCTAAACACTCACCCACAATGCACCGTCACAAATCACACAAACAATGACAAACCCCACAAAACAATCACACAACAGAGAGTACAGACAGAGGAGGCACCAGAGTGTGGAAAAGCGTTTTATGAGACGAATGCATTATTTATCATATTATAATTACCTCGAGACAGCGATCTCCACTTTGGTTCTGGCGATCGCAGCAGCTCTGATCGCGCCCTCTATGGCCCGGTCCACTTTCTGTTTGGTCTTGGTGTTCTTCAGAGGGATGAGGTGCTTGCGGATGCCCCGGGCCAGCACGTTGTTCTTGTACTTGCCCTCTTCTTTGCTTCCGTCGGGGAAGATGGTGCATCCGTATCCGTGGCGTTTGTTGTTGAGCCATTCGCCCTCGTACTTCATGCCGTTGGAGCGCTCTGACACGCCGAAGCCGCTGCGCTTGTCGTTCTTCCACTCGCCCATGTAGGACTCCGTGGTGGTGGCGTCCACGTTGTCCTCCAGGGGCAGGTAGTCGTCGGCCGCGTCGCCGTCTCCGAAGCTGATGGTGGAGTTGGCGTCGCTGGAGCTGATGCGGCTCATGGTGCTGTCGCTGTGGGCGGAGCTGCGTTTGCTGGAGATGGAGGAGCGGGAGTCGGACTTCCGGAGGCGCTGCAGACTTCCGAATATGGAGCCGCGGCGGAACAGGCCCTTCTTCTTCTCCCCGCCGTCGCCTTCGGAGTGGAAGTTGAGCACGAAGCCGCCCCTGGTGCCGGCCGGGCTGTCGGAGAGCGTGTCCCGGAGCACCGTGCCGTTGCTCTGCTCACTGCGCAGGGACGCCAGCGAGGTGCGCAGGGGGGAGCGGATCACCGACGCCATGCCGTACGGGACGCTCTGACGCACCCCGTACCCGTGACGCATGCCCCCGGTCCACTGGCCTTGGTACGTACCTGTGGAAACAGAGAAGAACAGGCTCAGTCAGTTTGTTCAAATAACATAAACTAAACCTGCTGGAACTAAACACGATGAAACACACAAGAGGAAAACACCAAAGTAAAAGCTGCTCTGTATCATGTGACGTATGGAGCTACTTTGGTGTGATCTATACATGCATGCACATCAGTATCCCGGTTATGGCAGTGTTCGGGATACTGCGTATACATGCGCGCTGAGAAACCGAGACACTCGTCATCCCGTCATATCCCCGTGTACATGTCTTGACATAATCTTACAAATGCGCAAGCGCAAAAATTAACTTTAATTTTATAAACCAGAAAAAATACAAACCATGAGCTCCTTTAACAGAGGAAGCTCGGGAGGTTTAACCAGCGGTACCGAGCTATGATGTATCCCACAATCCACTGCTCAGATCAAACCCAACAGATTCTTCATTAAAATATTCTGCATAAATAAACTAAATTTTACAACATATAAACCAGAACCAGTATAGAGCCACATCAGCCTGTTTGATCAGATAATTCAGCTCTGATCACATTTGTTTACGTTTCACCGAAACAAAACAGTTCGCTCCTTGTGCCGCTGATGCGATCAACTTCTGTCGGACTAAATGACATGACTCAGTGGATTATGTGTGTTCTTTTTGTGACAAAAGAGGTGCTAATGATGGTGAGTCTGTTCTGTGCCTGTATCGTGTTGGAGATAGTTCATGTTTTAGCTTTTCAGTGATCACACGAGTGCAGGTTTAATGCAGCTCTTTATTTTACAGTAATTTCACTCATGTATGGTCACTTTATTCATGTTGGTCACTTTATTCATGTTGGTCACTTTATTCATGTGTGGTCACTTTATTCATGTTGGTCACTTTATTCATGTGTGGTCACTTTATTCATGTGTTGGTCACTTTATTCATGTTGGTCACTTTATTCATGTGTGGTCACTTTATTCATGTGGTCACTTTATTCATGTGTGGTCACTTTATTTATGTTGGTCACTTTATTCATGTTGGTCACTTTATTCATGTGTGGTCACTTTATTTATGTTGGTCACTTTATTCATGTTGGTCACTTTATTCATGGTGTTACTTTATTCATGTTGGTCACTTTATTCATGTAATGGTCACTTTATTCATGTATGGTCACTTTATTTATGTTGGTCACTTTATTTATGTTGGTCACTTTATTTATGTTGGTCACTTTATTTATGTCACTTTATTTATGTGTCACTTTATTCATGTTGGTCACTTTATTCATGTGGTCACTTTATTTATGTTGGTCACTTTATTCATGTTGGTCACTTTATTCATGCTGGTCACTTTATTCATGTTGGTCACTTTATTCATGTATGGTCACTTTATTCATGTATGGTCACTTTATTTATGTTGGTCACTTTATTCATGATGGTCACTTTATTCATGTTGGTCACTTTATTCATGTTTGGTCACTTTATTTATGTTGGTCACTTTATTTATGTTGGTCACTGTTGGTCACTTTATTCATGTTGGTCACTTTATTTATGTTTGGTCACTTTATTCACTGTGGGTCACTTTATTCATGTTGGTCACTTTATTCATGTTGGTCACTTTATTCATGTTGGTCACTTTATTCATGTGTGGTCACTTTATTCATGTTGGTCACTTTATTCATGTGTGGTCACTTTATTTATGCTGGTCACTTTATTCATGTATGGTCACTTTATTCATGTTGGTCACTTTATTCATGTGTGGTCACTTTATTTATGCTGGTCACTTTATTCATGTATGGTCACTTTATTCATGTATGGTCACTTTATTCATGTTGGTCACTTTATGTTGTCACTTTATGTTGGTCACTTTATTGTTGGTCACTTTTTTCATGTTGGTCACTTTATGTGGTCACTTTATTCATGTTGGTCACTTTTTTCATGTTGGTCACTTTATGTTGGTCACTTTATGTTGGTCACTTTATGTTGGTCACTTTATGTTGGTCACTTTATTCATGTTGGTCACTTTATTCATGTATTTATTCATGGGTCACTTTATTCATGTTGGTCACTTTATTCATGTTGGTCACTTTATGTTGGTCACTTTTATTCATGTCGGTCACTTTATTCATGTCGGTCACTTTATTCATATTGGTCACTTTATTTATGTTGGTCACTTTATTCATGTCGGTCACTTTATTTATGTTGGTCACTTTATTCATGTTGGTCACTTTATTCATGTTGGTCACTTTATTTATGTTGGTCACTTTATTCATGTTGGTCACTTTATTCATGTTGGTCACTTTATTTATGTCACTACGGTTGTGGTGAAAGTGTTTGTCTTTTGGACGCATGTGCACTCAACTCTATGTTGCAGTAACCAGGATACTGTGGCATGTAAACACAGTATCCCGGTTACTATTGGAATAAACCAGCTACACTAACCCGGTTTCAAATAACCAGGACACTGCCATAACCGGGATACTGAAACCGGGTTACTGCGTTTACATGCACCATGAAGAAACCGGGATACTCAAAAAACCCGATCATACCCGGGATACTGATGTGCATGTGTACGCACTCATTGTGTTCAACAGGCTTCACATCTGCCATCTACAGGCGACTTTAGGTACTATGTGGACTAAAGGACATCGTTCACCAGTGATAGAAAACATTCTTTAAGGAGAATTTTACCCATCACAATCTAATAACAGCGATCCACATTCTAGGGCTGGGTATCATTAAGAAGTTGTCGATACGATACATACCTCGATACACAGGCCACGATACGATACATATCTCGATACAGTGCACTTTCGATTTGATATGATATATTTCAAATCGATTCGATACGGTTCAATAAAAAATAAAGACTAAATCATGGCTGTGATACTAAAGTCTTTGTTAAACCACGTCTTGTGAAAAGTTCATATGAAACACAAACTTTTTAATCATCAAAACAGTGAAAATATCAAATGTGTCACATAAATGAGTTTCCTTTCACTCCACAAGCAACAAAACTGTAGCACTGTAACAAAATAATTTAGTAAAACACGTAAAAATACTCTTGCTGATATATCGATACAGTAGCCCACGATATCGATACTAACCCTAACCCTAACCCAGGGGTGTCAAACTCATTTTGGTCTGGGGGCCGCATCCAACCTACTTTGATCCCAAAGGGGCCGGATCAGAAAACTCATGTCATATAAACCCCAAAAATAACAATAAGTTCAAATATTTGTGCAGAGAAACGCAAATCTATTACAGAAATCTTTTTTAATTGATTAACTCTCTCTTATTATAATATTCTAATATTATGAACAATCTGAAACTTTAAGAAAAATTCAATTTCAACACAATGTTTTAACATCAACTTGTATGTAAATATGTATGTCAATTTTTGTTGTAAAATCCTGCACTCGGCTCCACTTTTCTCATGTTGGACATTTTTCTGATGAGGGTGTCACGGTCAACAGTCAAAAACGATCGTCCTTTAAGAGCGTTTGGAAAGAGACAAGTCTTCATTTGTGCTGCTCTGGTGGGAGGGGCCACGTACAGAGACACTGGAGACGCTGCTGTGATAAACACCACAGAAAATTTACAATATTTTAATAGAAAATATAATTAAAATATTTTAGTAGAAAATCACCCAAGGGCCACATTAAAGGCCTTGGGGGCCGGATCTGGCCCCCGGGCCTTATGTTTGACACCTGTGCATTAAACGATACGATATATCGATATTCTGATATTTTTGCACACCCCTACCACAGTCCCACTCTGATTCTGAATCCAGCCAAACCTTTTTATCATCACTGCACACACGTCAAAGCTCGGGTTTATTTAGCCAAGTTATTGAAAATTATATTGTGTGTTTCTGGACAAAAAGAAAACATAAAACCATCCTGAGAACATGGATGAGACTCAAATATGAAGAGAAGAAAGCAGAGCAAAGTATGAGCCACAAACACAGGAGGTTTAACCAAATCACTCGTCCATGTTTGCACAAATGTCCTAATCACAGTGTCTTACGTAAATAATTTGTTTAAAATGAATCGAATGAGTGACACGTAGATTTATTACAATAACTAAGTAAATAAATAAATAACTCAGTCTCGCCTGATGATGACATTAAATTGATTAGAGAGTGAGGACGGCTCGTTGCACACTGGGGGGTTTCAGGTTCTAATATGTGGTGATGTCAGACTCCAGATCCTGGGCCGGAGCCAGTTTCCATATTCATAAGCTGCGTTCACACCCTAGCATTCGATGATGTCATGATTTCACATGGAGGGTCTATTCGCGGGGTTCAGCCATAACGCCTTCCTCGTCTGAAAGATTTGGTATGACAATCGTACACCGCTGTTATAGCAATAACACAATTCAAATCAAAATTCAGAATATGATCTAAGGCTACGTTCAGACTGCAGGCTTAACGCTCAATTTGGATTTTTTTGTGAAATCCGATGTTTTTTTGCGAGGTCGTGTTCACATTTCCAATTAAATTGAATGTGACTTGACCTGTATGTGACTCCTGTGTGAAACGACCCGAAAGTGTCCCGCATGTGCACTGGAGACACGACGAACGACGTCAACCACAGCGATCGCGTCTCTGTGTTTACAGAAGTTGTCCAAACATGGACGCAGCATCGAGCACCTGGAGATTTTAAAGTTCCTCTCGTACCGGAGCCAGAACATGAACAACTTACTTGTTTTAAGGAGGAGATTGAGAAGGAGAAAGACGAGGTTTTTGGCCGTGGTGTTTTGTAGAACAGTGGCAGCGACGTCCGTTGAAAGGAACGTGTGGATGTGGAGACGGAGCCAAGAGTGGTGAGTGGTGATGTGCTTCACTTCAGTGGCACAGAGTTCATTAACAATTTTCACCTAATTCAGCGCAAAATAGTGACATTTGTGTCTTGTTGATAACGTGTAGGTGGATGAATGCACTTTGGCCGTTCAGACTGAAGTCACATGTCAAAAGATCAGATATGTATCAGTTTTAGGAGCACATATCCAAGTGTCCTGGGTCACA